CTGACCCGGAGAAAAAAGAAACCGCTTCAGAAAGTTGCATGCGCTTGATTTCTATGTGATAAAATTTACGTCGTAGAAATTGTTTCTTGTACGTTTTGATCGATACATTTATCGATAGATACTCATGTAAACTCTATTTGATTTGAAAAAGATTGCTTCCAATTGAAAACGTCGATTTTGAAAGAAAATTATTGAGAATAAAATTCAAAGGAGAAAAGATGACATGTAATGAATATTGAATTTGAGAGAGAGAGAGAGAGAGAGAAATGCAAGTCCTAAAATAAATTCTTAAAAGCGATCATTAAAATTATTATATATATGTGTATAAAGCAGGGGATCGTACATTTTTTGTGTCGAATCACTCCATTTCTGATTACACTACGATTTTTGGAATATCTTGTATATGTATGTAAATGTGAGATTTCATTGGTATGCACATACAATTGTTGGTACCTCTATATAATCCTAAGAGAAATGAAGACCATTTTCTAAAAAAGTGAAATTCACCATTATGACCAGTAAAGTGCAACAATGAGCCATTTATCATTACAGATAATAATCCGGGTTAATTTGTCAGTAGGTAGGAACATGCGCGACAGATCGATGTTGTTTAATGATTCAGCATAAACTTTCTCGTTCGAGAGCGCGCATCGCGAGAGCTGTATGGCGCATGGGCGGACGAGGGATGCGGGCGAAGGCCTTTAAATACCCAGTTACCTGGATAAACCGTATCCAATAACAAAACGTCCCGGCTTAGCACGCGCTTTCACAATAAGAGAGGGAGGAGGGTTGATTATGAAAGGAAAAAAGGTGAGATGGCACGAACGCGATAGAAATGGAGGAGTCCGCGTTGTACAACGAAACGGCGTTTAGTCAGGGGTTGACCTGAATTCAGGTGGGGTGAATCAATATCCTGCCTGTCTGCCTGCGTAGCTGACTGGTTAGCTGGCCGCGTGCTCTGTTCGCTTTGCAGTTACCGTAGCAACCAGGCTCCTTCCTTTATTAAAATATAACCCACGTTCTTTTCTAGAGATATACTATATTATCGTATTGCACGTGGTACACGATATTAGAAGAAGATTAGGGAATGATCAGAATTTTTTTTCGAAAGCGCAGGACGTGAAATTCCGTTGGTCGAATTGCATTAAGATCAACCGGCCAGCGATCGACTCGTCCGATGCTGCAAGTTAAAGTGTAATAGCCTTCTCGTGACTCCAAGGGTATAACCTTGGTACCTTGAGTCTCGCAGGTTCGATGAACTCGATCGTCCGTGTCACGCGAGCTATAAACTCGCTTTAGAGTAACTCTCATAATTGTCTCTATTAGGCTTGTTAAAATATGTTGATAAACACTCAACTAATGATTGATAAGAGAAATATGATTGGAACTGTGAAAAGACTAAATTTTTTCCTGTTAATGGATATTATTAGAGTCATTTTCTTTACATCTCTTTGCGTAGGTTAATTAGAACGATTTTGACATTAAAATATCTTATAATGATGAATGAGATGTTTTCGATTCTTTGTAAACATACTAATGAAGCTCTTAATGATGCTATTATTTGAAGAGATAAATTATATGTTATAATTATTATAAAGAAGGATAAATTTAATACAAATGTGACAATTAACATGTTAATAATTAATCAATAAGTTTATTTTGTCATATTTTGGAATCATTGAAAATGATAATCAAGTAACTTCTAATCATTTTAAAGTTTATTCAAATCTGTTACAATATTTGTTAAGCACATGAAAATGATTTAAACTATCATTTTTATAAAAGAACTGATTATTATCGATTCTGTTACTGAAAAATATCACGTAAATCGCATTTATTCCCACTAATATTACAATTATCTTCATCGATCTTATTTTAATTGCATTCGCCCACGGAGATAGGTCACCGTTTTCACTATTTCGGGCAGAGATGCAGCGCTTAACTTTTAAACAGCCGGCTAAAAACAGAAGTCGACAGCCGTCGCTATATCAGCATGGCACCGGTTTTTGTTTACGAAGTGATTAATATCGCTTCATCGAATTCGTTGCGTTTCCGTCGCGGATTGCCAGACCAGGCGGCAACGATATTTGGCCGCGCCGATGAACCGAATAAACATCCAGGTCAGCACATGTGATAGCCTCGAGAGATCGTTTGACGAACGAAAGAGAGAGAGAGAGAGAGAGAGAGAGAGAGAGAGAGGGGGGGGCTGTTATACATACTCTAAAATCCGCTACGAGGCAAAGATCTATTTATACCGCGGTAACGAGCTCTTGTGTGCGGGATTACGCTCCTCTGAAACGGAACTCGCGGAATTTCCTCGAGAACGCGCAATGTTCATCGGAGATACTCGAATTCGTACAGTCAACCGGCGCGTGACGGGATAACGCCAAATGATTCACTCTACCGTGCGTATACTTGGAACTAGACGATCACGAGATACGGTCAGATCAACAGAATAATAGACTTTACTCAACCAACAACCTTTCAGAAAGTTGCCATTCATTCTTACATCAAGAACATCTTTATGATACCAAACACGAATTGGAAAAATGAGTACAAGATAATTATCACTTTTTCCAAACACATAGTAATTTGAAGAAGTAGCTTTACTTGGCATTTTTATTCCCTGGCACTGTGTGGCTCTCGTTCAATTCGTGTCTTGGCATTTGACATTCTCAAATCTTTCATCATAGGTAGACATATATTTGAATATTACAGCCTTTACTACACGACAAAGTATAAGATTCTATACTTTTACTGACGTTTTTTATTTACGGCTTTAATTTATAGGCTCATAAATCAAACGAATAACCCAAGTCTGACAAGTTGCTCAGTAATTCACTGAATTCGAACGTATTTCAGAGATACTCGCCCCAATCTGATTTTATCGCGGTCTTATGGCTGAATGAGAAGGAGGGTTTATAAGTTTCCATGATGAAGTGTCAGTTCGAAGATCGAAGTCGATAGGTCAGGTAGAGTAGCAAGTGACAAAGACCGATAGTCTCGGCGGAGTAATAGGCTTGTCAACCCTACTTAGCCTCCGCTACTTCCGGATGATATAATTAATCTTGATCCCTTCATCCGCGGCTGCAAGATCACACCGATTGTCAAAGAAGAGATGAAAAAGGTCACAGCGATGACGAATTGTTTAGGCGATACATTTGCAGAAAGATTTAGTAACAAGAAGCTTTAATTAATCTTGCGTCGGATCTACGTAGGTATTCGATATTCTCGCGTAATAACATTAACTAAAAGTCTCACACGAAAACTTTAGTCCCTTAATTTTATGCAGAGCGCTTTTCCCGTTAATGATGGATTCTTTGAGTAAATTGAAAAGACAAGAATTCTCATAACACAATGTCGAGGATTTAATAGCTTTTGCATTGTTAGCGATCGAGAGTAGTAAATTGCTTTTTGCCAACTAGAGAACACAAATTGATAACGAAACTTTATATTCTTCCTTAAATTACAACGAGTTCTATCTTAAAATTAATAGGTTTTTAATTTGGTTATTAATTCCCGAAGTTATTTAATGTCAAACATTAGAAAGTTATGACGAATCATTCTTTTTCTGTTAGACAGTCGTTAAGAGAAAATCGATTTCTAGTTTATTAAACATTAAACTATTAATGGTGGTAAAAATTGAAAAGAAAATTAAATTTACCTTTCTTTCTCTTACTTTTTATACTTGAAAAGTTTCTTTACAATTTGTATATTTAATGATGGATAAAAAATATCTGATTCATCGATTTTTCAATTACAATTCTCAAGAAAATTATGTATAAAAGAACCCTTTTTAATAAATAAATTTAAAAAAGAATAAAGGGCATAAGAGTCAAAAATTAAAACTAATCTTATGTCAAATTATAAAATATATTATGAAGATAAAAATTGAGGATTGATATTCTTAACAATATAATATGATATTGACAATAAAATTACATGTTTCGGCTTCTATATTGAGCCATCTTCAGATCTTCAACATCAAAAATATAAAAATAAAATAGATACGCAGTGGATGTTCCAGTTAAGAGTTCTCCGATGAATCAAACTTCGACAAATCAATTGTTCTCAAGCGATTGGTCGACTGAATGTAACCCTTCATTATCATTAGTTCAACAGAGAATTCGTATATATAAAAAGACAAGTCAGTTGGTGTGTATAATATTAAAAATTATTTCTTCCATATGGAAGAGTCAAATATATATAAATCAGTGTGTATTATACAAAAGACATACGTGGACAATTCTCAAGATTTTTTTTTCAAAATTATGTATTATTTCTATAATGAGATACGTCATTATGTCATCTGCCTTATACAGTTTATCGATTTAAACCTAAGCCATCTTCGCTCGACGGCTATTAAACTTCTGCCAAGTCGAGACACGTAATACTGTAACTCGCGTACAAGTTTGAAGCTGCCAACACACGAAGTTATACAATTATACGGTCTCGTACATTAAATACATAGGTAATGCGAATCGTTGGCCAATCGATTTGTTATCACGGTTTACGGAATTTCGTGGACATTATGTGCGACGATAACTTAGCTATGCGGATATTAGCTTCCTGGAGGACGCGAATAAAGAATCCGGAAAGATACGCTTGGGAAAATGTGAAAGAGGCACAGGCGATTCTTTGTGCGTGCATCGTCCTCTGAAGATTAAGCTTGTGGACATATTTCTTTTCTACTAAGCTGGAAATACTGGAAGCGCGATAAAATACGCAGTTACCTTTATTAACTTAATTCACTTCACTAGATTTCATGCACGTTCCGTTCTACAATGCACAAATGATTATTTACACAGGAAGAACGGTTTTGCTGAAGTTTATCTACCATATATATGCAGATCTAAAAATAAATTTTGTTAGACCATCAAAATAACTATGTATGTCCAAGCTGGTTGCTGGAATGTCAAAACTTTTAGTAGCTTTGCTCTAATGAGCTTAATTCCTTGAACGTCCTACATAATAATTTTGATAGCCCAACAAAATTATTTTCAGATCTCTGTGTATTCAGCTACGTTTTTAGATGTTTTAGCAAAATCATTGGATGTATTTAGAGAGTAACTTTGCTCTGTTATAAAATTTAATATGATTGATTTAGACATTTAGAGAAGAACTAAAAGAGTAAGACTAATCATATTAAAAAATTTTATAATAGTTTTATATAGTATACAAAGCTGCTTTCTCTACTGAGAACGCAGCCATTCTTTCATATTTGTTTTTTAATGAAAAAACAAATAAATTATTTTATTGAAGATGACGGTTTTGAATAATATTTTTAATAAACAGGAAATATATAAAAATGTTAAAAAATGTTTGAAAAGAAAAAATTATTCGTTCGTACAAAAATTCGTTGAGAGAAGTTTCGATCAGGATATTAATTAATATTTCACTCTGAACGAACTCTTTAAGTTGCGCATTAAAAGAGCTGGAGTTACAGAATATTTAATAAGATTCGCTTGCAAATGATTGATTCGCTTGACTTCGCTGGACCACGTGCAGAATCGCAGTGATGCACTTACCTGTCTGGACGAGCTTGAGCGCGACGCCATTATGCTGCTTGAGCGGCTCGTTGAGACTCGGCTGCGTGAGGTCCTTGAGGGGATGGTTGGCGGCTTCTTCGGAGCCGGAGGCACGATTACTTTGCATAGTCCTGGCGTGTTGCTCCTCGTTTCGTCGTCCTTCTTTCTTACCGGCGTCGCCGTCGCCGTTACGCACGATTTGCCTCCTGCTTCCCGCCGTCTGACTAGTATCTCGTTTTTTCTCCTTGCGCTTGCGGACGTCGTTCGTGACAACGATTCGCTGCTGATAATGTTGCTGATTTATCTCCACGTAATCGCCGTTCACCGCTGCGTCGTTGACAGTCAATGACACGGACTCCCGAATCGGATTTTCATAGATACGCAGGAGCTCGTCCGCCGGATAGAAGACGTACATTCCCAGAAATCGTCACTAGCGTAGCCGTTATCGTTGCTGTTGCTATCGTTGTACCGTTGGCCGCGGTCGTGGCCGCTGGCGTAGCCGACGCCGTCGCGGATTCCGCTATTGCATCCGTTGCTGTTGCCGTTGCTGTTGTTGTTGCTGCTGCTGCTGCTGCCGCCGCACTTCTCGGATCCGCGCGAGCCAACATCGCTGTCCAACGATACATCCTCGGTGATGCTGCGTGCGGGAATGATATCGGCGCTGGCCGCTGTCAGGAGACGCATGATTTTCTTTCTTTCTGAGCGATTAAAGCGTCGCCCCCGCGATATATCGTCGGGTGTCGCGCGTGCGACGTGACGTCTACGTCGTCCTCGTTATTGTTGTCGTCGTTGTTTTTTCCGCCACACCGACGCACCGTCGATGCACTGCGAATGGCCAGGAATAATCGATTTTCGATCGCATTTCTTCGAATGTTTAAATATAATTGTTTATTCTTGATGAAAAGCATGGGTTTTAGAAACTGCCACTAGTTTTCTTTCCTCTCTCATTTCCTTGTCTTTAAATTATTTTCTTCTTGTTGCAGAGCAGTACATATAAATTGCTGATTTAAATAAATAAAAATAAAATAAAAGAGTTCTTTCTAGATTTTTTTATTTTACATAAAAAGTGTACAGCAATCAAGTATTTAAATTGCTGACGTAGTTTAAATAAAAATAAAATAAAAGTTTTTTTCCGCTAGATTGTTTTCGACATGTAATAAGAAATGTGTAACAATCAAGTATTTAAATATTTCTCTTTAAAAAATTAATCTGTCTATTACGTTTCGTTTATTTAGCTGTCGTGTAATAATAACGAACGAACGAAATAATTTAATGGTTTGTCAATTCTTTTTACATATGCTTAAATCAATTATTCAAACTGGCCATTCTTACAGTATATTGTTTTTGATGAGATGTGATGAAATTTAAAGGATTCAGACTTATGTCGTTGGTAATTCTTGAGGCCTCTTGGGCTGAAACAGAAACATTTGCTTTGATGAGAGATTAGTTCGTTATTAATTCACTTTTACGTAACTGTGTTTATTACTTAATTATTGTAGTATTTGTACTACTTCAAAGATGAAGGAAGCGTGAGTTATAGTTTTTTTTAACAAGATAAATCAAACATGCAAAAGCATGTAATAAATAAAAAAACTCATCATTTTGAAGAAAGTTTAAAAATTGAAGAAATATTTGAGAGAGATATGGCCTTTCTTTATTACTTATTTTAAGATATATTTTCTGTTCAAATTGGAGCACAATTTTAGACGTGGCAAATAAATCATCGGTATGACTTGCTAACTTTTTCTAAAAATTTCAAAGTGCGGACGATATAATTCGTGGAAGATAAACAAACTTTTTCGTTGTTTTGATGAGCAGAAATAGGTCTTAAAAATATTTAACGTTCGTCTCTCTCTTTATCTTTCTTCTTCTTTTTCTTCCTTTTCAAAACATATTTCCATTTTGAGTGCACAAGTCTTACATATCCAGCATACAAATCGTATGACAATTTGCCAGAGCAATAGCTCGTATCTCGGAATTCGAAATGTACTATAAACGGCAGTAACGGAGCTACTTTTAAAAGGTAATGCTCATGTGATGTATGCGTATACACCTGTAGAATAGCAATATTTCATGCACTTTATCTTTCGTGCAAACTATCTTAGAATTAGAAGTTATAAAGATACTTTGATGAATTCTTTCTTAATAAACTGGGATGATCGTCCTGGATCGTCTCGATATATTTATGCGCAGGTGTATATGCATGATTCACGGATTATCGCCTGCTATATAACTCGCGGGAATTTACGTGCACTTTTCGACGTGGGAACCGGCGCACGTGCCCCGCGGAAGAAACATATCAATCAATTGTGATAACACTCGGAAATCTATCCCGGCCGATAGTCACGTACCGGGATAACTCGGTAGGTTGTTCGTGAAAATATATACATAACACGTTACCAATGAAAGCATAAAAATGTATGTATCATACACATTCAGATTAAACTCTTGTGATACTTATAAACAACTTTTCTGAACGACAGATTATTCTTTCTCTATTTTAGTTGGATCATATATGTATGATCAAATTATTCATTACAAGTCATCTACAATTTATATTCCGTCCGGTGAAGATCGTTCACACCATTGGTTTAAAAGATAAATAAAAGTTTATTGTTTATATCTTTGAGAGAGAGCGCTCGTTTATGAAATGACCGGGTAGAAGTTCCTTATTTATTATTCAAATTATTCATATATACATGGATGTGAATATATACATAATATATACAGGTAGTTTAACAAGTTCTCGGTCTAACACAGAAATGACGCCACAAATATCAAACTGCTATAATTTTAGACAAGTTTGATCCTTCACAGGGCTACTGTTAAAATTTCGGACAAATTCCATGAATTGATCTCGCGAGCACCATATTTCACCGTATTTTACGTGAAATACGGTACTTGCGAAACCAATTAATGAAATTTTGCGACTGCAATGGAAGAAATATGAGCGGATGCATTGCCATGACGGAACCAAAAGTTGGTTGCTTTACACGACCGAAATAAAGAAACTAACGAACGTATTTGTTTGAAATTTTAACAGTAGCCCTATGAAAAATTAAACTTGTCTGAAATTATAGCAGTTTGATACTTATGGCGTCATTTTTGTATCAGACCGAGAATATTTTTTGAACTATCCTCGTATATACAATATTTATAATATAGGTACGCATGTATGTGATTATAAAAATTGTTTAAGAGAAAGTTAAATAAATTTGTAAAGGGATTTTATTAAGTGAATCAAAATCGCATGGATAATTCATCAACAGTGTGTTAAGAACGACATGTACATACATATACATATTAACTTTAACTTTTCGTCTGTAATTCGAATCTTTCTTAGCACAAACAAAATTTCAAATTTTTCCGAAAAGAAAAACGAAATCTGGTTTCGCCTCTAAAAAAAAGTTTCTATATTAAATACCAAAGTAACGGTAATCCAATCTCTTGTTAAATAACATTTTGTTTTTAACTTTCATGTGTGTCAATATATAAATTTATTTCTACGGTTAGTTTCAAAGTAAACAACGTTCATATTAACGTATAATTTTAATAAATAATAAACTAAATTTGAGTCAAATTTAATACATTTTCTTGACTTAAATTGTTTAACTTTTAATTAAATTAACTACATAGTAGGAGTAGTGGCAATCATAGAAATGATTAAAGATATAATTTAGCATTATGAATTCAACAGTATATCCTGTAATATTTGTCTGTTAATGTAATAAGATGCTGAAAAGTAATCCTGAATTTTTCTACTGAATTTTTTTATAAAAGTCTTTGACATTAAAACAATTTGAGTTGGACAAACAAGATTTAAATTGTGAAAAGAGTAAGGATATATAATTGCAAATGAATGATATTAAATATGTATAACATGTTTTAAGAACATACATTTTGAATTTTTCTGGAATTTGAAATATATGCTTTTAGACAATTAGCAGTTTAAAAAGAGAGAAAAAGTTTCATGGAATTAGCTTCAACGAAAATACAATGTAATATTTTTCCTTCAATTTCAAGTTATTTAATTTCACTTTATTAAAATGGGATTTTTATTTGAACGTTAGTTACATACATGTCAAAATTGAAAATTAAATGATTATTATTAAAGAAAAAATGTGCATCTCAATTTATATTAGAGAAAAATTGACTTTAAATCAAAAGCGTATATGTGAGGGGAAACAGAAGATAAATTTTGTGCGTTTTTTATTTTAAATTGAAATTTAGCTGAAAACGTGTGCTTTCATTTTTTTTTGTCGAACAAATATTCAAAGCTTGTATGAATTTTAACTCAGTACCGATATTGACGAAGAAGGCAGATCGAACTTTCTGCACCTTTCGGGGAGCGAATGGAGATTGTATTATATATGTATATTATATATATATGTATAATAATATATGTATAGGATAGATAATTACAATTTCGTTATAATGGACGGCCGCGCTAATGACACTTTAAAATCACTCTGGGGCAGTATAAATTAATACATATCTCCGTTCTTTTAAAGACCGCGCGCAGCGGTGACGGTAATCATATTTTTATGTCATAATGCACAACCTGCGTTTAAGCACTCGCGGACTAAATCATCTTTTTTCGACCGTTAAAAGCGCGGAAATTCCGTTATGCAATGGGATTATGTCATTCCCGCTGTGGCGTATCCTTCTCAAATTTGCCGAAACGTTGACAGTGCTTTTCGTTTCAGAGGAAACTGTTCGTCGTAAATATTAAAAGATTTTCTTCAGATTCTTTAAGTAGAGACTTTTAAAAGTAATATAAATTCTTTTTTTTTAGCACATCATTTGGGATTTTTCTTAAAGATTGTATTATCCGTAACGAAATGACCCATTCAGTGAAACACTCGTAGTAATACCAATCAATAAAATTAAAATTCTAGCACTCTAAAATGATTTTCATGTATCACTCGATTATCTCATGACACTTTTTATTTTGGAAAGGAATATATGAAGGAAAAATATACTAAAAAAGTAGTGCTTTTGAAACAGTTAATTTAGCAGAAATGGTGTTCAGATATTTTAATGAGAGTAGAATCATCTACAAGGTTTTCATGATGATACATCGCGCAAGCTCTTTGTTCTTTATAACGAGAAGATGTGACTTGTATTATAAGCGAAATTCGTTACGGAAATTTGATTAACTTTACATGCACAATTTCTATATATACGATAAAATAGGATACGATAATAGGTAAGAAGTTCCACATATATGGAAGAGATGAAAGAGATTGCTTAGACCTTCGCCGTGTGAAACGCGTAGGGGATGTGTGCAGATCTCACGTTTACGAGAGGATGTATACACGCAAAATTGCATTCAGGCTGATGAATCGCGGGGAACCGCACCGATATTAAAATTTGCATGTGGCACACGCGCACAGGAGCTCAATCCTTTTTTTTCCCTCATAGATGACAGCGCGTGTTACAAGCTTCCGGAAATACAATTATGTCGCGAAGGTTGAAAAAAAAGAAATATGCTTTCGGAAGTTGATTCGCGAGACGCTGATTAAGAGAGCGCCGGGAACGCGAGAATTGTATGGCGGAACACTAGCTGTATATCTTTAAACGACGCTCGTTAGGAGCAATGTAAATATGTCTCCCGGGAACTCGTTGCGATTCTTTGGAACAGAAATTTAGCCTAATTATTTATGCTCGAGTGCTTTCCTAGATGTTATATTTATGATGTTATACTTACGGAAAGGGCTCTTTGAGTGTTTGCAGACTATCTCATTAGCGATGTGAAACTTTGTTGACGCGCATTATTTTCTTGCGATTAACTAATACAAAAATTTGAGAGACAGTAGAAGAAAATGTAAAAGACTTGAAACAGAAGATTATAAAATATAATTAATCGATACTATTAATGGAATAACCTTTAACGTAATTATATAACATAATTTATACATTGCAACACAATTACATTAATTTTCACATAATTTAATTATTAATGCTTCTTATAAAAGGCTGAAAAATATTTTTTAATTATCTTCAGTTATGTCATTTGTATTAATAGCAAAGTAAATAATGTAATTAATGAGCCGTTGAGTATAATAGAAGTATAAATTGGCAAAAGTAAAATTTGAAATATTTTATGATAATAAATATATATAATATATATATATATATATATATATATTAATTATTATTGCAGCCTTTACATGTGATATTTTGGCGTGGCGTACACTTTTAGGATCTCCGCTTTAACAGAAAACGATAAAAAAAGTGCTACTACGACGTGAAGTGGCTGGATCTCACGTTGAGTACTTTTGTGAGCCTTTTTGTTTTTTTTTTTGCAAAATGAAGGAATTAGCGCTTACACTGGTTGTTCCATCTACCGGCTTAAATTTAACTTCAAGTGAGATCGCGGGGACAAAGGGTTATACGCGAAAGCACCGAA